GAGAGGGATAGGGGGGAGAAAGAGAGAGAGACTCATACACAGACACACAGGTGGAGATGGAGACAGAGAGCCAGGAAGAAAGAAATAGTCTCAGAGAAAGACACACAGATCTACAGAGTCAGAGATGGAGAAAGACCAGAGGAAGTCTCAGAGAGAGAGAACTAAAGACACAGACATACAGAGACAGAGAGGGAGAGAGACTGAGGGCCAGAGACCCAGAGAAAGACAGACAGAGAGAGGTTGGGATCAAGATGGTTAAAATGAGTATGAGCTCAGACTGAGCCCTAGCAGATTGATGGCACTCACAGGTCTCTATGTCTGCTGATGCCAACTTGCCAGTTGCCCCAAAATGGATTCGAATGAATTTCCCCTGGCGAGATGGAGGAGAGTAGTGATGAGTTGAGGGAAAGCTTATATTTGATGCTATCCCTCGACCAGCCCAAATCCCAAGTCCAAGGTCAGGAACTACTCACAAAGCGGGAGGAGTTGTCATTCCTGACGGTCTTGGCGTTGCCGAAGGCCTCCAGGGCAGGGTTGGCCTGGATGATCTGGTCCTCCAGGGTGCCCTGAAGAGGTCAGGAGGATGGGAGGTGAGAGGACTCCCTTCCCTTTTTGCAATGTGGGCCCTCGAGGGACAACAGGCCTACCTTGCCTGTGTTCTGGTCCTTCTTGCTGCGATCCCCAATGGCAGCAATAACAGCAAAGTACTGAATGACCCTCTTGGTGTTAACTGTCTTCCCGGCACCGGATTCTCCGCTGTCGGGACATTCAGGGGCTCATTAGGCAGTGCACAAACACGGCTGTGGGCCAACAAGCCTCAAGTCAGGAGACAGTGTCTGGTCCTACTTGACAGTGGGAGCCCTGACGCAGGCAGCTGACAGATACTAAGCATCCCAAATACATAGCTGTACTTTGACATACCCAGGGTCACACGCAGCAACCAGGAAGGATGGCACGAGAAGGTGCTGGGTTGGGCAGGTGGAACCTGGTCTTAGCTGGGTAAAGTCAGTCAGAGGAGATGGGCTTAGGCCATTTAGAATAAGAATGAATGGGACTGGAAGAATGGGGAAGGGAAAGATGGAAGAAAATGAAGAGTCGAAGAAGATATGGTGATACTGGGCTTAGGAATAAATGATGAGTTGGAGAAGAGTGGGTGAAGGAGATTGGAAAGGAAAAATAAGAGAGGGAAGGAAGAGAACAAAGAGAAGGTAAGGGGAAAGTCCAGAGAAGAAAGAGGAGCTGGCATGAAGATGGAGGGAAAAGAGTGGGCTCTGCATAGAGGCTGGGGGCCCTGATGGGGCTGGGGTCAGGGAGATTCCGGAAGGGAACAGGGTAGGAGCCACACTCACGTAATCAGGATGGACTGGTTTTCTCTGTCTGTGGGGAGAAAATGAGGAGGGAATCAGGAGCCACTCAGGATGCTCTTATTTGGTGTCCCCCCATCTCCCCACTCCCTGCCTTCCTCCAGGGCTGTCCCATCTTCCAAACCCCTCGGGAGGAGGAAGAGAGCCAGCGTGTGCGTTTCCTCATGTGGGATTCTCAGGAAAACCTTTCACTTGGGGCCTGTCACCTGTCAGCATGTTTTGATAGGCGTTGTCAGAGATGGAGAAGATGTGGGGCGGGGCCTCCCTCCTCTTCTTGCCCCGGTAGGCAGCCACCACCTCCGCATTGTACACCGGCAGCCACTTGTAGGGGTTGATGGTGACACAAAAGAGACCTGAGTAGGTCTAGGGGTAGAAAAAGAGAAGTGAGTTGCCAATGGAAGGGATGGCATTAGAGTTAGAGAAAGATTGCAGAGAGGAAGAAGAGAAAGGAAAATCTATGGATTCATTAAATCTGAGTAATGCCAGCCCTCAGGGCATTAGAACTGAACAGAGGATGTAGGGACTACGACAGAGTGCAATGCTGCCTGGGCACCAAGAACAGAAACTCTCGTTTCTGGGAAGTAGATGTGTATGGGCCAGGAAGCCACCAGATTCAAAGGGATGTCAGATGGAACACTCACGTAGATCATCCAGGCCGCGTAGCGCTCCTTGAGGTTGAAGAGCACGGCGGGCTCGTGCAGGAAGGTCAGCATGGCCATGTCCTCGATCTTGTCGAACTTGGGCGGGTTCTGCTGCATCACCTGGTCCTCCTTCACTGTCACTGTCTGCAACAGCCCCCACACCGAGCCTATTGTCAGTCCTCCCTCAGCAGGGATAAGAGTTAGGCGAGTTACAGGACGATGGTGTTCAAGAGAGAAGAAGCCAGGATCATAGAGAAGATACACTGGATGTTGGGGATGAGAAGGGCTATTTGGAGGATGTGGATTCCTACCCAAAGGAAGGGAAAGTCGAACTGTCCTCAGGTTTGTGTGGGGGCTATCCAGGGAGGCCTCTTATGACAGCCCTGCCACCCACCTTGCCATTCTCGGTCTCGGCAGTGACTTTGCCACCCTCTCGAGACACAATCTTGGCCTTGACGAACTCTTCTTTGTCATCAGGTACAAAGACATCCTTCTTGAGGTCAAACGGCCTGGTCTGGGCTTCCAGCCGCTCCTTGTCTGACTTGCGCAGGAAGGGGGCAGCGGCCCCAAATACTGCCATCTCTGCATCCCCCATGGCTGTGCCTGCAGTGGGCAAGAGAAGGAGCTGGCTGCCCTCCCACCCACCTGTCCTCCCCTCTGCTCTTCTCCCTGAGATCTCCTCTCTAGTGGGAGCCCCAGAGCCTAGCGCCATGCTCAGGAGTCAGGAGGGGTCACTGGTAAGTCCTTTGTTTCTTGAGCTTATCAATCAACCTGAGAATGCCTTGCAAATCTGTCAGGGCAGAAGGAGAGACTAACATTTTTTAAAATCCTCACTCAAGGATATGGATGGAGGAGAGTAGTGATGAGTTGAGGGAAAGCTTATATTTGATGCTATCCCTCGACCAGCCCAAATCCCAAGTCCAAGGTCAGGAACTACTCACAAAGCGGGAGGAGTTGTCATTCCTGACGGTCTTGGCGTTGCCGAAGGCCTCCAGGGCAGGGTTGGCCTGGATGATCTGGTCCTCCAGGGTGCCCTGAAGAGGTCAGGAGGATGGGAGGTGAGAGGACTCCCTTCCCTTTTTGCAATGTGGGCCCTCGAGGGACAACAGGCCTACCTTGCCTGTGTTCTGGTCCTTCTTGCTGCGATCCCCAATGGCAGCAATAACAGCAAAGTACTGAATGACCCTCTTGGTGTTAACTGTCTTCCCGGCACCGGATTCTCCGCTGTCGGGACATTCAGGGGCTCATTAGGCAGTGCACAAACACGGCTGTGGGCCAACAAGCCTCAAGTCAGGAGACAGTGTCTGGTCCTACTTGACAGTGGGAGCCCTGACGCAGGCAGCTGACAGATACTAAGCATCCCAAATACATAGCTGTACTTTGACATACCCAGGGTCACGCGCAGCAACCAGGAAGGATGGCACGAGAAGGTGCTGGGTTGGGCAGGTGGAACCTGGTCTTAGCTGGGTAAAGTCAGTCAGAGGAGATGGGCTTAGGCCATTTAGAATAAGAATGAATGGGACTGGAAGAATGGGGAAGGGAAAGATGGAAGAAAATGAAGAGTCGAAGAAGATATGGTGATACTGGGCTTAGGAATAAATGATGAGTTGGAGAAGAGTGGGTGAAGGAGATTGGAAAGGAAAAATAAGAGAGGGAAGGAAGAGAACAAAGAGAAGGTAAGGGGAAAGTCCAGAGAAGAAAGAGGAGCTGGCATGAAGATGGAGGGAAAAGAGTGGGCTCTGCATAGAGGCTGGGGGCCCTGATGGGGCTGGGGTCAGGGAGATTCCGGAAGGGAACAGGGTAGGAGCCACACTCACGTAATCAGGATGGACTGGTTTTCTCTGTCTGTGGGGAGAAAATGAGGAGGGAATCAGGAGCCACTCAGGATGCTCTTATTTGGTGTCCCCCCATCTCCCCACTCCCTGCCTTCCTCCAGGGCTGTCCCATCTTCCAAACCCCTCGGGAGGAGGAAGAGAGCCAGCGTGTGCGTTTCCTCATGTGGGATTCTCAGGAAAACCTTTCACTTGGGGCCTGTCACCTGTCAGCATGTTTTGATAGGCGTTGTCAGAGATGGAGAAGATGTGGGGCGGTGCCTCGCTCCTCTTCTTGCCCCGGTAGGCAGCCACCACCTCCGCATTGTACACCGGCAGCCACTTGTAGGGGTTGATGGTGACACAAAAGAGACCTGAGTAGGTCTAGGGGTAGAAAAAGAGAAGTGAGTTGCCAATGGAAGGGATGGCATTAGAGTTAGAGAAAGATTGCAGAGAGGAAGAAGAGAAAGGAAAATCTATGGATTCATTAAATCTGAGTAATGCCAGCCCTCAGGGCATTAGAACTGAACAGAGGATGTAGGGACTACGACAGAGTGCAATGCTGCCTGGGCACCAAGAACAGAAACTCTCGTTTCTGGGAAGTAGATGTGTATGGGCCAGGAAGCCACCAGATTCAAAGGGATGTCAGATGGAACACTCACGTAGATCATCCAGGCCGCGTAGCGCTCCTTGAGGTTGAAGAGCACGGCGGGCTCGTGCAGGAAGGTCAGCATGGCCATGTCCTCGATCTTGTCGAACTTGGGCGGGTTCTGCTGCATCACCTGGTCCTCCTTCACTGTCACTGTCTGCAACAGCCCCCACACCGAGCCTATTGTCAGTCCTCCCTCAGCAGGGATAAGAGTTAGGCGAGTTACAGGACGATGGTGTTCAAGAGAGAAGAAGCCAGGATCATAGAGAAGATACACTGGATGTTGGGGATGAGAAGGGCTATTTGGAGGATGTGGATTCCTACCCAAAGGAAGGGAAAGTCGAACTGTCCTCAGGTTTGTGTGGGGGCTATCCAGGGAGGCCTCTTATGACAGCCCTGCCACCCACCTTGCCATTCTCGGTCTCGGCAGTGACTTTGCCAAGACACAATGACACAATCTTGGCCTTGACGAACTCTTCTTTGTCATCAGGTACAAAGACATCCTTCTTGAGGTCAAACGTGGGCTTCCAGGCTTCCAGCCGCTCCTTGTCTGACTTGCGCAGGAAGGGGGCAGCGGCCCCAAATACTGCCATCTCTGCATCCCCCATGGCTGTGCCTGCAGTGGGCAAGAGAAGGAGCTGGCTGCCCTCCCACCCACCTGTCCTCCCCTCTGCTCTTCTCCCTGAGATCTCCTCTCTAGTGGGAGCCCCAGAGCCTAGCGCCATGCTCAGGAGTCAGGAGGGGTCACTGGTAAGTCCTTTGTTTCTTGAGCTTATCAATCAACCTGAGAATGCCTTGCAAATCTGTCAGGGCAGAAGGAGAGACTAACATTTTTTAAAATCCTCACTCAAGGATATGCTTTTATTGATTTTAGAGAGAGAGTAAGGGGGTGGGAGAAAGAGAGAGAGAAACCTTGATGTGAGAGAGAAACATGGATGGTTGCCTCCTGATGCAACCAGGGATTGAACTCTTAACTTAGGTATGTGCCCTGACTGGGAATTGAACCCACAACCTTTTGGTATATGGGATGATGCTCAACCAACTTTTGTTCACCCTGGGGCTCTCCTGGACAAGAGTGGAGCATCCTGGCTTCTTGTGGGAGTAGGAAGTCGACTATATCCATCTCTGACCCTTGTCTTTCCCTGGCCCCCTCACTAGTCACAGGTGAGGACTCCTGGTCATCAAGACATTCTCCCCAAGGCCAGGCAGAAACTAGAGCTCAGTATCTCCCCAGATCCCCCACACCCCATCTTCAGCTTTCCTTACCTTGGCTTCTCAAATATGTCTGTAGGAGGAAAGCGTCTCAAGCCTGTAGGGACCTGGAGAGAGGGAAGGCTGTGTCCGTGCCACCTCCTGCTGCTTCCTGGCTCTACCCTTCAGCACCCACCCACCCCTCCCCTAGTACTGAAAATAGGTGGGCAGTGGTAGTCAGCTTCTCTGGTCCTGTCCTCTCTCTTGCTTTCCAAGCACTATTCCTTTTATCCCCTGAGCAGTAATTCTAGTTTTCTGATGCCAACTCAATTCTGAGCCCTAGTCCCCCTCCCTCCTGGGAGATGGTCCCACCTTTGCCTATACCCATCTAGTGAAACTTCCATTCCTTGAGGCAACTGAAGAACAACAAATGCTCACATTTGTTCAGAGCTTTATAGCCTCCAAAGCATTTTATTCACATATTCTTACTCAATCCTCACCCCATTCAACAGACGAGGAAATCAAAGTTATAGGGCCTGCTTGTCCAAGAACACAAAGCAATAAGTGATGGAGCCAGGACTTGAATACTAGTCTCATGACTCTAAAGCCAGTTCTCTTCCATCCTGTCCCCATTTGATTGTCAGTCTTGGTGGACATTCTCAGAGAGGAGACCTTGTGGGCATCCTCTTATGGACACACCCCTCACACCGCCAAAGGTGTTCCACATGTCCTCTGATAAACACACATGCCGGCCACTCATGTCTCACACAGACACGTTCCCTTCCTTCATATGCCTCGGCACACACTCCCTCCCAGACTGCCATATGCCTCAGCAACAGACATGCACTTAAATATGTGAACGGCAAAAATAGGCTGTCTCTGAGTATGCAGAGACCTGGACCGGCCACACCAGGTGCCTGCGGACTCCTTTGCAGGGTGTACACAAACTGTAGCAGTCTCAACTACTGGATGCGCACACAAGCACCTCCACGTGCGTGGACATGGGTAGTTACACATTGCAGACCTCTCAGAACTAGCTTTTAAACATACACAATTCCTAAATAATCATTCTCTGCCATCCTCTTCCCCCTGTGCCTCGCTCCAAATGGACCTGCTTGTCCTCAGGCATGATCATAAACACACTTGATATTTGTGTATCTGTGTTCAGACCATGCATGCTTGTACACACCACGCACACACACATGCACGCATGCACACACACACACACACACACACACACACGCATGCACACCCCTCTGATGCATTCTGGTCTCATATGCTTTGATACAGACATCCCCCAGTAACACATGAGCCCCCATTCCTCCTGGGCACATACACGCATGTTTAGACCTGAACATGTGTGCTGTTACCAGATCCAGTACTCTGCATGAAGTCCTGCATGCAGCTTGCTATTCCAAGAGGAGCCCCTTCCTAAACCTGGGGCCCCTTTATCCCAGAGGAAGGCTTCCAGCTCCGTCTCCTACCTGAGTGCAGAAAGGACAGAGTTCAGGAGAGAGCTGCGGAGCCTGACCTGGTCAGGGGCTGTATATATGGGGCAGCAGGGCGCCCCCACCCCCACCTGCACCCAGTCCCCAGCCCGATTTAGAAAGGCTGTTGTCACTAGAAGCATTTCCCCCAGGCTCTCCCCCCCTCTTCCTAAACACCACTCCCCTCCCCCCTTCCAGCCAGGAAACAATTGGAAGTGGTCGTCATTGTTATGGCATGGAGAATGCAGGGTCTGAGTTCCAGGGGGCGGGGATGGCTCAAAGTGCAGCCAAAATATCTCCCAGGCCAGGCCTCAAATTCCACAGCAGGCAGGAGAGGGAACTGACCACAACTGACCACCGGTGACCTCAGGCAGGCAGCGCCTGGCCCTCCCCAGGGCTCTCCTGGCACTGCCGCCCCTCGGCCCCCTGCCCCAAGCACCGGCCTGGCCCCATTTGCACAGTGTCCTCCCTGCTCCCTGGCTTGGGTCCTGCATCCAACCGAGATGGGCGGGGGCTGAGTGTCAGCAGCAGAGGGTAGGGCAGAGTTGGGGGCCTGACCGCAAGATGGGGGCCAGACTGAGGTGGCTGGAAGAAGGTTTCCCAGCCAAGTGGCAAGAACAACGACCAGGAAGCTTAGAGATGGGGACTCTGGCACAGGCACTAATTTCCTTGGACTAGCCAGGTGATGTGTTGAAGTCACTGAGCCTCAGAGCCAGACAGGCCTTAGTGATGGGTCCAAGCCCTTCATTTTATGGAGAGGGGAAGTGCCTTCTTTAAAGTCAAACAGCCAGTCAGGGCAGCAAGATTCAAGGGCAGAAAGAAAACTCAGCAAGTGGGGGAGGAAGCCCAAGGGGGTGGAGGGAGGCTAGAAAGGAGGGCAGGGAGTCTAAAGACCCAATGTGTGCGGAGGGCAGGGTCCAGCTTCCAGATGGTCCTGCTTGATGGAGCCTTTGCCTGACTCCTTTTCCTAGCTCTGCCCATAGGTGCTAAGTGCCTAGCCCAGAGCCAGACAATCCGGAGCCACAGATAGCACAGCTCCCATAGAAGGAGACCCCTAACCAAGACAGCCATTGCCTGGCCCACCCGACCGCTTGTGTTCTGTGGGATGGTCTCTAACCAAACCTGGTGAGACTGGTGTTCTGGCAAGTGGGGCAGAGAGACAGCAAAGATCTGCCCCTTTCTTGCGGGCCTTAGGGACAGCCACAGAGTTAGTGAGGAAAAGGAGCTGGGGCTCAGCCTGTGAGCACAGGACACAGCCAATGTCACTCTCTCCCAGCAATGGTGTGCAAGCTTCACTGGCTCCGTGGCCAGGCAACCACTGCGTGGTTTGATTTAGAATCCCCCTCCTTCCCAACTGCAGGTCTTCAGCGCGTGCAGGTTAACCCATCTGATGAGCTGTCAGCTTGGAAGGAGAGCGGCAGGCTGGGGGATGGGATAGTGCAGGTCCACTTTGCAGGGAGGGAGGGCATAGCAGGGAAGGACAAATCTAGGCTGGGAGCATCTGTGGGGGCTGCTTGGTAACCAAGGCATAGCCTGAGGATATTGAGCAGCTGTAGGGAAGGGTGTAGGCAAGCGGGGGTAGAGCATGAACACAGGGGCCTTGTCCAGTGCAGCCACAGCGCTGCAGTGCTGAGGTATACAGCTGCTGGGGTGGCCCTCAGGGGCCCAGCTGCTAACATGTCCCGCAGAACAAACTCTGGGGGTCCTGACCAGGCCCTGCCAGGTGCCGAGGAAGAAAGCCCACTGGTGGGGACCCCAGGGATTGACAATGAAGGGCAAAATCTCTCTCTCTCTCTCTGTCCTTTTTTTTAAATGTTTTTTTTTTCTTTAAAAAATATTTTTATTGATTTTTTTTAGAGCGAGGAAGGGAGAGGGAGAGAGATAGAAACGTCCATGAGAATCATCCATCAGCTGCCTCCTGCACGCCCCTACTGGGGATCAAGCCTGCAACCGAGGTACATGCCCTTGACCGGAATCGAACCTGGGACCTTTCAGTCCGCAGGCCGACGCTCTATCCACCGAGCCAAACCGGTTTTGGCCTCTGTCCTTTTTATAAAAAAAAAAAATTTAATCGATTTTTAGAGAGGAAGGGAGAAGGAGAAAGAGATAGAAACATCAATGATGAGAGAGAATTATCGATCGGCTGCCTCCTGCATGTCCCCTGCTGGTGATCGAGCCCGCAACCCGGGCATGTGCCCTGACCAGGAATTGAACCGTGACCTCCTGGTTCATAGGTCAACACTCAACCACTGAGCCACACTGGCCAGGCTCTCTCCCCTTTGTAGAGGTTAATTACTTTTATATTGTTTAATTACATTGTAAAGTCTACATCTACAGTTTAATCAGGAAGAAATGCTTCAGCAAAATGTCTTTTCAGGCACCCCTTCCAACTTTCCAAGCTCAAAGCTTCCATCCCTCTCTGGTTTTCCAGGGCTCAGGCACAGAGGCAGGCAATTAAGATGCACCAAGAATACTTGGGACATGGCTGAGCCATTTCAAAGCCAGTGTCTTCGCAGCTGGCCTCCCTGGCTGTGGAGCTGGGAAACCTTTTGTACATTTAGTAAGTCAATTGTACTTTGTTTTCCTCCTGGTGGGCTTGGGAGCACGGGCCTACTGGTGTGACAGAGCTCAGCCTCCTCACATCTGGACTTCCTGCCTTGGATCTCCAATCTGAAGACAGGGTCTGATATCCTTAAAGATCCCCACTCATTCCCCAAGATTCTCTTCCCTCTGCTCTCTACTATATGAACTGAGCAGCTTTGCTGATTCTTTCATTCAACAAGTATTTACTGAGTGCCTACTGAGTGCTAGTCATTGTTCTAGTGCAGTGATGGCGAACCTTTTGAGCTCGGCGTGTCAGCATTTTGAAAAACCCTAACTTAACTCTGGTGCCGTGTCACATATAGAAATTTTTTGATATTTGCAACCACAGTAAAACAAAGATTTATATTTTTTGATATTTATTTTATATATTTAAATGCCATTTAACAAAGAAAAATCAACCAAAAAAATGAGTTTGCGTGTCACCTCTGACACGCGTGTCATAGGTTCGCCATCACTGTTCTAGTCAGTAAGGATCTAATGGTGACCAAAATAAAGACCCTTCTTCCGGGGCAGCTCTATTTAACTGTTTGCAGAATCGAAATCCAAGACTGAGCTTATAGCCAGTGCCTTTGCTCACATGTACATTCCTGGTGGGGGAAGTGAGGGGCCAGGGGCCCCGCTGGGTGAGGTGGGTGGGGATCTCACAGAGTGTACTATAGAGTGATAGCAGACAAGACAAAGGAGAGCAGAGCAGAATGCTATAAATAAAGAGCGACTGGAAGAAGGCTCCTTCACCAAGGTAGACCAAATAAGGCCTGGAGTGGAAGGAAGGTGATCTGCCTCCTCTGCCCCTCCCGCACCTCCCCTCCCCGGCATTGTGTCTGCTTTGTCTGGGCTCTGTCACCACCCTGATCAAGTGTCAGGCCCAAGCAGGGGCTGTTTTCTGTGAACATGCCAGCGGGAGTTCAGAGAAAAAGTTGCTAAAATTACTATCAGGAATGGGGGGAGGAGAGGCACCCTCAGGCAAGTTAGAGGAGACCCCGTTGTGGAAAGAAGCCCCCAAATCCAAAGGAATGGGAACAGGAGAGGGGCAGGAAGAGGCAGGGGGCTTGGCCCAAGAATGAGGCACCAGTTGTTTGTGCACCTGGGAGAAGGCACCCACCCTGGATCAGGGCTGAGCACTCCTATTTGCCTGCCCCCAGATTCCCTGACCTTGGGGGGACCCCGACCCTGGCTCCACATGAGCCTGGGATTAGGACTTGAGCTTTGTGCCTGTCTCAGGTTTCCCTTTACAAACAGCTGCTCCTTCTTGTCATTTCTTTTGTCTTCCTCCTGGCTCCAAAATCTACCCTTCTACACCCGCCCTCACTCCCTAGTCCAGAGTCTCTGTTCTCCCACAGATAGTGGACAGCTGGAAATGTGGGGCCAGGGGCTGAGGCTGGCCCAGTTTTGTTGGGGTGTTTGGGAAGGTGGATCTTGCCATCAGGGAGTGTTTGGATGAGCACAACTTACCCCAAAGGAAGCTTTGTGGACTTGGTCCGTCTGGACCCAGGGCTGGAAGCCCCGGAGGGCATGCCTGGTGAGCTTTGGGGTCAGTCACAAAGATTCACTCCATTTTCCAGCTGTGTGGTTGAGGTCAATCACAGAACTTCTCTGAGTCAGTTTCATCGTCTGTAACATGGGGATAGTCATATTTCTCTCCCAGGGCTATAAAGACCACTAGAGTTTGTGTAGGTAACAGGTCCAGCACAGCCCCAGGTGCATAGTGGGCCCTCACTAAGTAGCAGCTTTGTTGTTAGGAACACAGACCTCTGTGCAGGTGGGTAGGGCAGTTACACTGCTGTAAGTTCTCTGCCCCACATCTCCCTCAGCCCCACTACATCAACATGGCTCAAGGGATGGTCTGGGCCAGGGTGGAGAGAGACTCAGCAATCCCGTGGTCTCTTTTCCCAGACTGTGGCTGCCTCTGGGAACATCATGGCCAGGAGGCCAAGTCCTCAGGCTGTCCCATGCTCAGTTTAGGCCCACATCCCCTGAGGCTGGGAGTGGTGCCACTGCCCGAGTGCAGGCCATGGACTCTGCCTCATGACAGGCCAGTGAGCTGAGCTGAGGTCCACCCAGAGTTGCCCAGGCTAAGTGGTGACATTAGCCAAGGACATCTGACAAGGTAGAGGCTGCTTGGCCAGTAGACCCCACCAGTAGCAAGATGTGTTTGTGTGTGTCCTGGCTAAAGATCTTAGGGATCCTAAGTGGAGCTGCCTGGGGGAGCTGGACTGGCCTTAGGAAATGGGAGTTGGGTAGTGGAGGGGAAGAAGGTTAAACTGAAGCCCTCAGACATGGGAACCATCCCTGGGCTGGAGCCAGACACAGAATACAGAGGGGCTAGCAAGCTCTGGGAGGAGACTGGCCAGGGTATGGTGATGTGAAATAATTGGACAGACTGAGAAATAGCATCCTGGAGTCACCTGCTGGACACTTTGGTGTTTCAATCTGGAGCCCTGCACACTGCTGTCTCTATTTTGGGCCCCAGCTGG